CCCCCCCAAGGGGTCGCGAACCCACAGGTTGAGAGCTGCAGATACAGTATGTTCTTAAATGGAATGCCATTTCATAAAAAGATCAAATAAATTCCAGAAGAATAGCATTTCATTAGGGGAACAGAGAGAAGTACCATAAATCAGGACACACCATTGTCTAACTACAGCCTTCCTCCAACACTGGTCCAGGGTTCTTCGTATAATCTAGCTTCTTTGATGATTTGCCCAGCCTACAGATTAAATATGGTGAGCGGATACAAGCCTGACACACAACTTTCATGATTTTAAATCATGGAGTATTCCCTTCTTCTGTTCACACAGCTGTGCCTCTTGATCCATGTAAAAGTTCCAAATGAGTACAAGAAAGTGTTCTGCAATTCCCATTCTTCTGAAGGTTATCAATAGTTTGTTATGATCCACACACTCAGTGAAACACAAGCAATTATCTTTCTGGTATTCTCTGCTTTCAGCCAACATCCTTCTGAAATCAGCAGTGATATCCTTTATTCCTCATCCTCTTCTGATCTGGCCTGAACCCCTAGTATTTCCCTATCAATGTACTATTACAGCCATTATTGGATAATTTTCAGCAAAATTTTACTTGTATATGATATTAATGCTACTGCTCTGTAATTAGAGCATTCTGTTGGGTCACCTTTCTTCGAATGGGCCCTTTTTAATAGTCCTTATCATCTTCCTAACATTCTATAAATCTAATATTATTCCAAAATAGAGTTCCTGTATACTTGTATACCTTCCTTAATTTTAGCATCACATGTGATATTTCTATCATCAGAACTGTACTTTAAAAATCAACATAAAACAGGATACAATATAACATGTACTATCTACAGCTCAACCCACCCCCCAAAAATCAGATACATGTTGTTGAGAGCTGTGGGTAGCAAAATGGGTATTAGAATTCAGAAAACTTTGGTTCAAATCTGGTTCTATCATTTACTTAGCTGTCAGACCTTGAGCAAATTACTTAACAAAACTCTATTCTGTCAGTGTACAAGTTAATTGTATACAAATTGATCAAAGTCTGCAAAATGCACAACAGAATAGAGTATGTTTAGATTAGAATATGAAGATTCCATGGAAGCTAGATATTTTATCGGGGGCACATTCCCATCCTTAAGGAAGTATAGAAAGACATTTTAATCAGAAGGCTGCTTGATGAGCATGGGATTAGGTGGTGGTCAGAGTGAGCTGTTCAATAGCTGGGCATCTATCACTACTCTAAAAATCAATCTACCAGACATATATATACTATGATTGACTGGCCTGGGCATGGCTTTCTTCTTTGGGGCGAGTCTCTTTTTTATAATGCTGTATTATGTTTTTCTTTTGATTCTGTTAGAATTAACTATGTGCATAGTTTTTGATATGTTGTAACCACATTGTCTAGGGTAGCAGTTCTCAACCTGTGGGTCAGGACCCCTTGGCGAGTCGAACAACCCTTTCAGAGGGGTCGCCTGATTCATAACAGTTGCAGAATTACAGATGAAAAGAATTTCATGGTTGAGGGGTCACCACAACGTGAGGAACTGTATTAAAGGGTGACGGCATTAGGAAGATTGAGAAACACTGGTCTAGAGACTACTGTAGCCTTATTTACTTGGATTTGCTTTTAGTTTGTTAAGGGAGATTATGTATATTTTATAACAATTTTCATCTCTTAAAAGCCAAAACACCACATCAATTCGACACAGCTGTTGAATTGATGCCAACTCTAGAAACCTTGTAGGACAGGAAAAAAACTTAAGACTATAAATGTTTCCAAAGGTGTAGCTTTTTACAGAAGTAGATTACCACATCTTTCTTCTGCAGAGCAGCTGTTCAAGCCATTGGGTGGCTCTCAGCTTTAACCACTGTACCACCAGGACTTCTTTCATTACTCAGTGTTTTTCCAAATCTTGTTCTAAATAGATAGCATTTTCCAATTTGGAGCTGGTTTGGTGGTTATTTTCAGCTTACACTTGCACTGAGTACTTATTTATAGTATCATATATTCTCGAGTATAAACCGACCCAAAGTCAGTCGAGGCACCTAATTTTATCACAAAAACTGCATTAAAAATATGCTGAAAAGCTCAGCTTATCCACGAGTATATACAGTAAGTACTTTTTAAAAAATTAAATAATCGTTTTATTAGGGGCTCATACAACTCATCACAATCTGTACATACGTCATTTGTGCCCAGCACATTAGTACATATGTTGACTTCATCATTCTCATAACACCTGCTTTCCACTTGAGCCCTTGGTGTCAGCTCCTCATTTTTCCCCTTCCCTCCCCTATCCCCCCTCCCAGTAAGTACTTTTTTCTTGCTGATATATGGTTAAGGAAAATTTAAATTATTATTTTTTTTCCTTATTATTGAATGTACATTTTTTGCCTATTTCTTTCAGGCCATCTCTAATTCTGCATCATGTCTGATAACGGAGAACTGGAAGATAAGCCTCCAGCGCCCCCCGTGCGGATGAGCAGTACCATTTTTAGCACTGGAGGCAAAGACCCTTTGTCAGCCAACCACAGTTTGAAACCTTTGCCCTCTGTCCCAGAGGAAAAAAAGCCCAGGAATAAAATCATCTCTATATTCTCAGGCACCGAGAAAGGTAAGTTGTTCTTATGGTTTAAGAGTTTCGAGGCAACGCTTCGCTCTTGGGTCAAAATGGCCGGCAGGTCCACCGTTGCAGCCTCAGGCCGGTGGCTGGATGGCATTCGAAAATGGTACTACAACGCTGCGGGGTTCAATAAACTCGGGTTAATGCGAGATGACACAATATACGAGAACGAAGATGTGATAGAAGCCATAAAAAGGCTTCCTGAAAACCTGTATCATGACCGGATGTTTCGCATTAAGAGAGCCTTGGACCTGAGCATGAGGCAACAGATCTTGCCTAAAGAGCAGTGGACAAAATATGAGGAGGATAAATTCTACTTAGAACCGTATCTGAAAGAGGTGATTCGGGAAAGAAAAGAGAGAGAAGAATGGGCCAAGAAGTGATCATGTCATTGAAATCTGTGGAGGTAGCTGCCTGCAGAGTATTTTTATGAAGTTGGTTCAACCTGAAATGTTTAATTTAAAATCTATCCTAGGCTGCAGATGTATTACTTTAAATAAATATGTATTGTAATCTTTGTTGGACTTTTTGAGTCCTAAATCTTATAAAAATCTTGACTGTTGAAAAAAAAAAAAAAGAGTTTCAAGAGTCTCGTTTGGTTTAGTGTTGTATTATCCAGGTTGATCTTTTTTATTGAGCTTAACATGTTGCTGTCTTTCATGGTGAGAACATTAAATTGTGTCAGCACAATAAACAGATCCAAGAAAACAATTGCTACACTTTTAGAAGTCTAGTTTATTTTAAGCGGTGATTAAAGAGAATTAATTTTTTTTAATGATGCTTATCTTGTTGATGTCCAATGGATTTCTGTAGTCATCATCTTTATTTCTGAGACCTGGACCGTAATTTATAGCTTCCCAATGTTAAGGAGATTTGTGATATTTGAGAAAGACCTATAATTATAGGAATTGTGATAGTCTTAAATACCTGTACCCAACTGTATCTTAAACATCAGAGTCTTTCTGATTGTTTATCAGTAATTTGTCTTTTTTTAATCATATACTCTCTAATACCTCAGTAGCATCTGAGGCAGCACCCTGTAATAATGCAATAATGTATCTCTAGGAAAAGATTTATCCAAAGTTATTCAGTCTCAGCACCATTGAAGTTTTGAGGCCAAGTAAGTTTTTGTTGCAAGGAGTTTTCCTGTATATTACAAGCTGTCCTGGAGCATCCCTGACTTCTAGCCACTTCAGGCAGTAGCACATCTCCACCTAGTTGTGGCATCCAAAAATGTCTCCAGACATTGCCAGGTGTCCCCAGGGCACAACATTGCTCCTTAGGGACTGGTCTAGTCACATAAGTGGTATAAAGACTGAGATTACCAATACTTTTGGTGCCCGGCTTAAAGAGAAAACTTGAGATTTTAAAGCTTTTGGATTTTAGATTTGGATAAGGGATTTCTGGACCTCGATAGATTTTGAAAAAAGTGCAAAGGCCCAATGAAGTACACTAAGCTTGGTAATAGAGTTCTGATGGTTAGCTAGTAATAGATAAAAGCAGAGGTGAAGATATATCTCCTACGTTTACATGGAGAGCGTGGGTTTTTCAAAGATTGAAAAATCTTCGGAAATTAATTTTCACCCTTATTTCAAATATGGGCATTTTTAGTCCCTACATTTTCATCCAAGTACTATTTTAGTGTTTTCCCACAAGATTTGATATAAGTTCGGTGTTGGGGCAAATAATGCTTGTTAGTTTCTTTTTTTTTTTTTTTAGCATTTTATTAGGGGCTCATACAACTGTTATCGCAATCCATACACACATCAATTGTGTAAAGCGCATTTGTACATCATTCTCAAAACATTTTCTCTCCACTTAAACCCCCACATTAGGTCCTCCACTTGTTAGTTTCTAAACATGGGAATTTTCCGGTTATCTTTATAGTATTGATTTCTATTTTTGTTATGTTACAACCCCAAAACCACCCTTTTTGATTTATTGAAATGTCTATATTTTTACTTATTTTTCATTAAAACATTTTTCAAAAACCCTAATAGAAACTCTTCGTGTATTGCATAATAAATGCATACATCACAATTTTATAACTATAATATTCATATTCTTACATGTTATTAATTTCATGAATAAAAATATACATTTAAGATCTTATATAGTTTTCATTTGAGCAAGTCTTTTTTTTAATCATTTTATTGGGGGGCTCATACAACTCTTTTATCACAATCCATACATCAATTGTGTAAAGCACGTTTGTACATTCGCTGCCCTCAACACTCCCAAAACATTTGCTCTTCACTTAAGCCCTTGGCATCAACTCCTCATTTTTTCACCTCTCTCCCTGCTCCCCCCTCCCTCATGAATCCTTGATAATTTATAAAAAAATTTTTTCATATCTTACACTGTCCGACGTCTCACTTCACCCACTTTTCTGTTGTCTATCCCCCAGGGAGGAGGTTATATGTAGATCCTTGTAATCGGTTCTCCCTTTCCACCCCACCCTCCCTCCACTCTCCCAGTATTGCCACTCTCGGCACCGGTCCTGAAGGGATCGTCTGTCCTGGATTCCCTGTGTTCCCAGTTCCTATCTGTACCAGTGTACATCCTCTGGTCTAGCCAGATTTGTAAGGTAGATTTGGGATCATGATAGTGGGGTGGGTGTGGGGGGGCATTTAGAACCTAGAGGAAAAGGTTGTATGTGTTTCATCCTTGCTACACTGCACACTGACTGGCTCATCTCCGTCCTGCAACCTTTCTGTAAGGGGATATTCAGGGCCTACAAATGGGTCTTGGGTCCCCAATCTGCACTCCCCCTCATTCATATGAGCAGCCTTTTTCTAAAGTGATTCCCAATACCAAATTCATTGCCATTGAGTGGGTTCTGACTCTTGGCAACCCAGTAGGACAGGGTAGAACTGCCTCTGTGAGTTTCTGTGACTGTAAGTAATTTTGCCTTATCGTTCTCCCTCTAAAATTATTAGGTGCAGAATTTATGTCACTCACCTTTTCTGGTTAGAGGTTGGTGGCTTGATCTGGTGCAGCTTCTGTTATTCTCATCAGTAACTCCTCCATAGTGTTCTTTTATCCAGGGACTTTAGAGCAAGACGTGGGTTACTTGTCCTCTATGGTGGTGCTCTGGACAGTATGTATTGAGTATCTTCACTTTTAATAAAGCATTATAAGTAATTGTCCAAAAGTATTTCCTTGTCATACACAGTAGGATTGGTATTTTTTCAGTCTTTAAATTAGCTCTTTAAAAAAGAAAACATTTATTTTGGTATCGTACAGGTCTCATTCTATTAATTTTAAATGAGTATTTGACATATCTGGATATCTAGAGGAGAATGAAGAGTTCTTGAATAGTGCAAACAGTTAAGCACTCAACTGCTCCCCAAAGGATTGGTGGTTTGAACTCACCCAGAGGTGGTGTTTCCGAAGGCAGGCTTGGTGATCTGTTTCCAAGAGGTCATAGCCTTCAAACTGCTACTCTGCACACATGGGATTGCCATGAGTCAGAATTTACTTGACAGCAGTTAACAACAGGGGAGAATGGATGTTATAATAAGGTCGAAAAACCATTTCTTCTCAAAAAAGAAGAAAGAAAAGAAAAACCATTTCTTCTATGGTGTAGTTTAACAAACCTGAAGGGACTTAGCTCGGAGTGGAGAATAATTAGAGCAGTGATGGTGTTAGTTGCCAACTCATGGCGACCATATTTATGGCAGCATGATCCTGGCCCTGTGCCACTGTCATGTTTGCGTCCACTGCGGTAGTTGTTGAATCAGTCCATCTCATTGAAGGTTTCCCTTATTTTCATTGACCCTGTGCTTTACCAAACAGGATGTCCTTTTCTAGCAATTGAGGTCTTCCCGATGATGACACTTAGAAAAATAAGTGAGCCAAAGTCACCCCATCCTCACTTCTAATGCTTCATTCTGGATGTATTTCTTCTAAGATTGATTTGTTTGCACTTCTGACAGTCTACAGTAAATTCACCATTCTTCATCAACATCACAGTTCAGATGCATCGGCTCTTCTATTTTCCAGTTTTCTTTAAATATTTGAAAAAGATTTCTTTTGAAATAGATGTATTTAATTTGCTACTGATCTACAAAACGGAATCAGAATTTGATTTGATGTAAGGAAAATTTTTCTAGAGGGAATTTCCAATGATAGTGGAAATGACAAAAGCAGATTTTGGTTGAATACAGGAAGCCTTTTTTAAACATTGACAGTTGTCTGACAATGGGGTAAATTATTTCTGGAACCACCTTGGATCCCAGCAATGGAAGTATTTTAAATCAAGGCTAAAAGGTTGCTTAACACACATGGGAAGGGATTTTGTAGGAGGATTCCTGCACTGGGTATGAAGTTATCCTTTGACACCTGAGTCTCCTTTTTATTTGTACCTGTAACATTACAACTGAGTTATGTGCTTAGATTTAGAGATTTCCTCAGAAAGTCTTTCATAGACTCTTATGTTAGCCATTTTTCTTGCTTAATAATTCTAGGAATTTTGTCTTACTATTAGAATGTGGAAACCATTAAGCCACCAGAGGTTAATAATTTTGGTAATTATTTCTTTCATTCATGGTTTGAAATTGTTGTGGTTTAAGAAATAATTATCAAACTCAAGGTCATAAAGATATTTTCCTGTATTTTCTTTTAAAATCTGATTTGCCTGGGTTAAATTTTTGTGTATCTGAAGAGAGACATTTCTTCACTTTTTAAAAATAGCCCAGGATCATTTATTCAATCTTGTATCATTTCTTCTATTAGGTTTCAATGTCAGCCTTTATATATCAGATTTCCATGCATTTTTTCTAGGTTCTTTCCTTTAGGAGTTTGTTATTTTTGATCCTTTGTTCTCTTTATCGTGTACTTAAAAAAAGAAAAACCTTTGGTAGTTGTATTAGAAATGTACCAAATCAGTAGGTCAAGTGTATATGTGTGGTGGTGATGGGGTAGGGTGGGGGGTGGGTTGCCTTTATCTTTCAGTGGCGAGTAGAACTACTTGAAGGGAGGTTTAGGAGCACCTGTATTGTTCTGTTTTGTTTCGTTGTGGCAGAGTGAGGCGGGGGAGAATGTTTAGAGGAGAGGACGCTCCTTGATCTTCTGGGGTTCTGGTTTCCCTTTCCACCTACCCTCCCACACAGTACTCCTACGTGGGAGTTGACAGCCCTGTCATTGTGGGGGTGGTATTAGGAGAAAGCTATGTGTGCACGCACATCTATGCTTACTTTCTGTAAAAGCCTGCTGGGGTGTTCCCACTTGGCTGTAGTAATACTTTTCCACCTATATCCTGAGCTGTTATTTCTTACTTTATTTTGATCCTATTTGCTTTTTGTCTTTTGCACGTTCCTTGGAGTTTGGGTCTGTGAAATACAATGATTTGCTTCTCGGGATCAATAATGAGAGTAGCGATACCAAGAGGGTAGGGGGAGAAAGAAGGAACCGATCACAATGATCGACATATAAACCCCCCTCCCAGCGGGGCAAACAACAGAAAAGTGGGTGAAGGGAGACAGTGTTCGGTGTAAGACATGAAAAAAATAATTT